GATTTCAGAACACCATTTTTGTCATAAACAAGTTGCCCAGAAATTTCTTTGCATTTGCCTGGTTGCATTTTTCACTGGCATTTAGAGTCAGATTCCTCTAACCCCAAAGCCACATCCCACGGACAGTGTGTTTCAGACTCTGAAGTGTCACGGCGTAGCAAATTTTAGAAAGTGTCACAGAGTAGCAAATTTTAGAAAATTTAGTAGCAAATTTTAAACCCAGCATAATTTTCTTTTTTTTTTCTTTTTTTGACCAAAATATTTTTCATAAGAAGCTCCCTCATACTTTTGTTAGTTTGAAAATATTTTATTCTAAAAAATGATTTTAAATTTTTAAGAAATGCCAGCTCTGTTAAATGAATAGACTCTCCCTTCTGTAAAACCCATGCATTGTCCCTGTTATTCCCATATCACCCCAGACCTTTGAGAATATCACCGTCGGTGCCAGTTCGTGGACTGACTTTGGGAGAACACTGACCTAATTTAGCTTTGATAAAAGCCAGGCTGTGATATGAATTTAGGTTCTTCTATGGCATTTTTAAATGATCCATGTAAAACTTTGCTAGTCTGTCAGGTGAAGTTATCAGGAAAGTAGCTAAAAGCTTGGAAGGAAGGAGCAGGGTGCCCCCGGCACCTGAGCGGATGGGCAGCTCCCTCGCATGTGTCGTCCCCTCTGCGCAGAGCCTGTGCCTGCTGTCCCTTCCCCCAGCTCAGGCTCAGGGCCAGTAGCCTACCAGGAGGAGTCAGGTGCTGCTAGAACCGGCTTTGGAACAACAGGAAACAGTAAAGAGCGTTACCCCGGGCGAGAAACCCCGAGAACCCACACGAGAAGCTCTGCTGCACGTGGTTGCTGCCTCTTGTGGTGGCCGCACCCGGAGGAGAGGCTATAGCAGGCTCTTTCTGGAAGGCCGGAAGGTGGGAATCCGTTTCTGAAGAATCTCCGCTGAGTGGGGAGCTGGTGTTCTCGGTGGTAGGAGATGATGGTGCGTGGAGAAAATAAGCTTCATTTATTGGGAGAGTTTATTCCTCCACATATATTTATCTTCATTCGTCACCAAAGTGAAGTCCTTTTACTGTAATCAGAGAGGCCTGCCCTTGAGACATTCCATCCTATCCTTATTTTTTTCATTCCGAAGCTTGTGAGGGCAGAGCAGGTGGGTTTTTAGGCCGCGACGGCAGCATTTTTGCCTCAGCTGCCTGCCAGGCTCACTTGTGGTCAGCCATTGGCTGTGCTTCATCTTGGACCACCTCAGCCAGATGTTTAAGTAGATCATGACCCTGCGGTTGGGAGGTTGCTGGAATTCACTGCGGATAGCACACCAGTAATACCCAAACACATGTATATGCACGCAGACATGTACACACGCATGTACACATGTGCACATACATCTCAAAGCGAATTTGAGAGGATAGAAGGGAAGAACCTGATTAGATCTCAGCTGATCCCTAAACTAAAGGTCAGGATCTGAGTCTGATAAATGCACATGCTCGTCAGCCTGTGTCTGTGTGATGATCCTGAGTGCTGTCCCCAGGCTGGAACTCTACATCGAAATACCGCTCAGCACTTTTTTATTCTGCTATTAATTTTGCAGTCAAGCCCAGTGGATCAAACTTCATGCTTAACAACCTGGATGGATGAACCTAAAATGCTAATTACTGAGCAGTAATGTTTTTTTTAAGATCTCAGTAAAAGTGAGCACTGTTGTAGATGTTTTTTCATTCCACAATGTGCCTTATTTTTTATTGCAGGATGACAGAAAAAAGATAACCAAGCCTTCGGTAAGTGTGATCATCTCAGGTGTCTTGGTGGCCATGGTTTTTGTCACTCCATGTCATACCTGCAAACTGGAGGGCAAGGTCTTTGACTGGCCCGATGAGGCCAGCACAGCCATTTCTAGGTTAGGTGGATATGTGACCTGGTGGCTCAGCAAGTTTTATTCGTATGGACCAGTCATTGTACTTCTCTAGGTAGTGTTCTCCCGTAAGACTCTCCATACTTAAAATAACGTTTGCATCCTAGTTGGCAAAGGATACCTTGTAAAGAGCTACTTTTTATAACTAGCGCTATGCTTATGACCTGAAAGATTTGACACACCACTTATTTTCAGAGAACTCAAAACCTGATTGAGCAGAGGTCTTACTACTTAAAGCTGTGAGGACCCCACCCTCATCTCTGTGGACATACTAGACATTCAGTAAATACCTGCTGGATGAATCTAATGTTATTTCATAACTTTTCGATGCATTTTTCTTTAGGAAAGGAAAATAATTCCAGTAATACTAATCTCATGATCTACTGATCTTGACGATAGGTCCAGAGTGAGAATGGGTGACAGCAGCCAAAGCTCCTGAAAAGCACAGTAGGCATAGTAGTTCCTGGCCAGCAATTAAAGAACTGCCGGAGAAGTTTTGCTTAAAACAAACAACAGAAAGTATAATTTTTCCATTTCAGTTTATGCTCTTGGTTTTATTAGAGAAAATACGATAGCAAGACTGCACAGGGCCGTGTCAAGAACTGGTGAACTCATTTGCCAGCTGCTGCTGACCAGACATTGTCTTTACGACAGAATTGAGCAGTTAATCCAACATGAAGGCCCTTTTACCCCGGCACCCCAGATGGTACAGGAAAAGTCTGCGTGATGCTTTTTCGTACAAAGCAACTTCATACACGTTCCCTCCTTTTCCTACCCAAGGAAGCTTAAGTTCAGTGTTGGTGACCCAGTACTTCTGGAAGATGAAAAGTGAACTTCAGACTTTGAGTCACTTCTGCAGCAGTTGCTTAGAACCCTTACTGTTAGTTCATACACCGTTAGCACCTTTTTTGAGATTACTTTTTGGACCGCCGAAATTTTGTGATGCATGAGGTTTTTGCTTCTTCTCTAGAGTCTGTCAGGGAAGAGGCATATTTTTTCCTGTGAGGCGTTCAGTATTTAATATTCTTGGTGCAAATCATTCAGCTGTTATAAAACACGGATTTCATAAGGCTCATTACATGAACTTAGATCTGATGTAGGTCTGACTGTGTCCCAGACCAGGTACCAACCAGTAGAAGGCGTCAGTCAGGGCCAAGGCCTTTACCTTGACTGCTTAAAGCGCCAATCAAGGCCAAGGCCTTTACCACGACCACTTAAAGCACCAGTCAGGGCCAAGGCCTTTACCAGAACTGCTTTAGTTCTGAAAGACACTCTTCTCTATTTGCTTTGAGAACACATGTGACTTGTTTCACATCAGAGCAGAACATGGGACAAGAACTTGCTCTTTTTCTTAGAGGTCGTAAGCAAATACAGTGAAAGGAAATACGTGACCACTTTTCTAGATTTTTTTATCCCTGTGGAATGCAGGGAAAGCGGAGACAGTGATGCTCTGACCTTGTTCAGGGTCGCTCATGGCAGCACCACGGCTGACTCCCGTCTCAGGCTTGGTGGTTGCGGCCATAAGCTTATGTAGGTGCACGGAAGACGTCCCTCTGGTGGTGATATTTCTGGGTAAGCCTTTGAACTCAGGAGTGAGCCGAGTTAGGGGAACTTATAAGTGAGGTGACTCTGATTTGCAAAAGCTTGACGGACTTTGCCTACTTTTATAGGGCTTATCATGTACTGAGTTAATGGGTAACCTACTTGAAATTGAACCCTTCATAGTCACGGAACGACCAGGTGGCAGAGCCTGAGGTAATGAAGACCTTGTCTCTGCCCTGCTTGTTGCTGACACGTTGGTTAGTTACACGCCAAAACCCAGGTTAGGCCCTTCAGGGCGTTGGACAGGGAAGTGCGTTTCCTTTTTTGTCCAGGTGCCAAGTGGTATTTGAAACAAGCATCCCTGGGTTAAACGCCTCACAGATAATAAGCAGTCAGAAACGTATGCGATCTCTTACATCCAGCTCCCTGGAAGATCACCATCATGCCGACGGCGGTGACACAGCAGGGTTTCAGCGTCAGGCTCAGGGGGCGAGGTGGGGAGAGGAAGGACAGGCCCGCTGAGTGTCCATACGGAGTTGTCAGCATGCTCAGTGACGTGCACGTGCTCAGTATAACGAAATAACCAATGCGTCTGCCTGCTGTGTACTATTTCAGGCTTAACTTTCTAGTGTGACAATAATATTTTACCTCGAACGGTTGTGTTTCAGTTTACGTCTAACAGCTAAATAATATGTTTGCATTTTCCAATTGCTTCTAAGAATCATTGTTAATTTTATTTATAAGATACAAAATTTGAAAAATCATCTTGCAGTAGTTGTGAATATGTTTTGTAGTCTCCGAGAATTCACGTTGCTTTAAAAGATGATAAATGTGAAGTTTGCTTTTTAAATGACTTCTTTTTCCCCCTCTACTGTGTCAGGAATCATAAAGGCCTGTCCGCAGGTTGGTGGGTCTCAGAACTGCTCTGCTTGCTCTCCCCTCAGAGGCTTCTGCCTTTGTGGGAGCTGCTTCGATGCCTCGCTGTGTGGAGCTTTGCCTCATTGCAGGCCCTGACGCGCTGGTTGCTTCGCGCTGGTTGCTTCGCTAATGGTTGGTTATTCTGTGCTTTGGGAAACTGCAGAGATAAAACTCGGCTGCCGCTGGCTTATTCATGGCTACCTTCCTTTGAGGCACTAATACTTCTGCTGGTGTGGAATTTCAAAGACCGCTTCTTAACACATCTTTAAGCCTGGGAAAGTTAATATTCCATGAGGCCTCAGCTATTGAGCCGCTCGGGGAAGTGCGTATGTTTCCAGAGCCATCATTGCTTCCTGGCACTGGAGGGGAGCAGCTCTCAGGAGTTCCTGGGAGGTAAAGCAGCCATAGCTGCGAGAGACCCCGGCAGGGGGGTGAGGCGGGCATCCTCGTTGGAGCTTCCTTGGCCGAGACAATATGAAGCCAGTTTCCGAGGCCTCCACTGTCTTTCCAGAACTGTCTGGTCATACTTAAAGTCCAGGATAGGTCGTCCAGAGTGTTGTGTCATTTAAATGGCAGGGCTTAATTTTTCCTCTTTAGTTGACATATCTTTTAATATAATCTGGGCAAACTTTTACTTCATATAAGGTTTGAATGAAATAACCTGATGTCTTGATTGAACGTTTCATTCAGTCTTGAAGTAAATGGCTCTTCCTAAAGGTAGTGCTGGGGTCGTGTGTATGATAAGTCACACCTGTTTTTATTCTCTACGTTGAAGTATTTAGGTGCCTGCCTGCTGTGTGCAGGGTATTTTAGGTAGCCTGTTCGTTTTTAGCATTTTCTTTCGAATTATCTAGACTATGTTAGAAAAGTTCATGATGGAACTTTCCCTTTCAATGTCTTTTTGAAGCCTGCGTTGAGCAGACTGTCGTGGTCTTATTTTAAAGCAGGTGTTTGGTCAGGTGCTCCCTTCACCTCACCCCTTCTCTTGTGTTTCAGGAAATTCTTCTTACTACCGTTGACTCGAATTCCAGGTAGGTGGCCGTTTTCGTTCACAGCGTTGTTGTGGGCAGAAGGCTGATAGGGTCAGAGCTGGACAACGGGCCTGACCCGAGGGCCCCTCACTGACATCCAGGGTCATCTCCACTGGGTGCCCAGACTTCTCAGGGCGTTCCCTCCTCAGCTGTCAGGCAGCTAAGAGGTGGCCAGCTCAGGCGACCCTAGATCTCACCCTTTGGCCGCATCTGCCCTGAGGAGCAGAAGAAGAGGTCCCCTCTCTTCGGTCCCCAGAGCAGCAGGGCAGGCCGATGTCCTGCCTGACCTTCCAGTCTCCAAGCAAACATTTTACTTCCTCCCTCGTGTCATATACAGTCAGTTTTCCAGTTGAAGCGATTGCATCCGTAAGCCTGGCTCGGCTCTCCTTGGCCCTGACATGGAGCCCAGTAATCCAAGGGTAGTGTGAATCACTTGTTCTAGGGATTTTTTTTTTTTTTTTAGTCCAAGACCATATGAACATTTTTGGCTGTATCACATGGCCAAATATCTTGCCGTGTGACTTGTATAATTGCTGTCTCATATATCTATGTTTTGGACTCACGCTCCAAACCACACAGGTCCGCCTGTTTTGTTTCTCCCTGGCAAATGTAACCATGCGTCTGTCGGCGTTCTGGTTCATTCCACCTCGCTTTTCACTGTCATGTCAGTTTTCTGAATGGGAACTGAAAACCCACCAAGAGAGAATTACACTTGGAATCTTTTTACCATTTAAATCTCTGTATTAAACTTGATTTTGAGCAGGTCATTGTGTGCAGAGGGTAAAGGATGGAAAGTTTATGACAGGAAATGGACGCGTGCAGAGGTGTCATCTGGCTTTATTCAGAGTCTAAAAACCTATAAATTTTTTTTCTAAAAAATTATAGGTTCAGATCTGAATTGAAGATCTACCTAGTTCTGTCCTAGACTCGACCCTTGATCTGTCATTTATAGTAGATCAAAAATTCTGTGCCTCAGCATGGAACAACATGTCAATTAGAGATTTTTGTGAATTGACAGCAATGGGCCAGAGATCAGGTGGTTTGGACACGCTGTTTCCTCACGTGGCAAATCTACCACGCACGCGCAAAGCTTCAGTTTTTCAAAGCGGAATCACAGTATGTTGAGCTGTGGTGCTGGTAGCAATCGTCGTCATCGTAGCGTTCAAAGTTCAGGGGACGGGATTCAGCCTTGGCTGTGGAGCTTGTCCGTAGCTCTCCCAAAACAGAAGGAAAGAGCTGGGGTCTTCTTTCATGCTGTCGTAAATTCTTAACGAATGTGCGGAGCTGGAACAAAACCTGTGAGGAATGCTCCCTTTTGTGAACTTGTGACATGTAACCCAGAGTTGGCGTCCTTTCGCTAAGTCATGAGTCTAAGGTGGCATCTTTTGGGGATATTCATAGCTCTTTGTGTAAGTTTAGAGAAGTAGGTTCGAGTGGAACAGGAAGGGGCGTCAGTTTTCTCACGAGGCCGGAAGGATAGAGCAGTTGCCAGCATACCAGCTCAGCAGCGCTCTTAGCAACTTGGAGTTGTCTTTCCATCCGAAGGGGTTAGAGAGGTAATAAAAACGTGCCGTGGCGATTTTCACGGGCGTTAGGAGGAGCAGAGATTTCGAGTCCCCTCATCGAACACTGTGCAAGCATCATTGCTATTCCTTTCCAGCTGGTGGACCAACTGGGTGATCCCGGCCATCTCGGTGCTGGTAATTGCCCTGATGTATCACTTCTACATGGCAGAAGACTAGCTACATCCTCAGAAGCTAATGAAAGAAAAGACTGCTTTAGACCAGGGAGAATGAAGCCCACGTTAACTGTTTCAGCTGACAGAAACCTTCACCTGAACGTAATTGTAATACACTTCTTTCCCTTTCCTCCTACGTTAGAAACAAACCAAAAAGAACTGTTCTCTTCTCTCTGCTCGTGAACTTTTGCAGTGTGCCTTTTTATTCATCAACTTTATTTTGATGTTCCATGACTACATAATTTACTTGTTGTTAGTAGGATCTTCTAAAAATATATCTGACTTTTAAAAGATACTACCATGTGTGCCTGTCTTATTTGGTATATAATTGTCTTTCACATTTAAAATCTCAGATTGTTTAGCGGTCCTTCCATATGCTAATCATTCAGGCCCACATAGTCTGGATGACGTGCGGAAGGGAACGTCTAGCTGAACAACCCGTATTGCGTATTTCCAATGCAATCTCTTTTTCAAGGAAATTAAGAAAGGTCCAGAAATTAATAGTGTAAAGATTTCTAATAATTGTTCTACCCGAAGTACATGATAAAAGGAGAATGTGGTCTATCAGACGTAGAAAAGAGACCCCTCTCTCCTTTGATTAAAAAGCACCAGCAACAAAAAAGCCAGCCCGTGAACCAGGAGAGGACCCTACAGCTGTCTCTTCTCTCAGCTTAAAACCATCATTCTAAAGAAGTTATCAGTCACACAGGTTCTAAAATTTTAAAAATTCTTCATTCAGAAGTGAAGACTTTCTGCATTGTCATCAGGAAATGTTGATTTCCTAACCTGTAAAAACACAAATTTGAAAGCAATTGTGAGATATTTGGAATCTAATATTTTAAGAAATGGAGCTGGTGGTGATGAGCCGTAAGGGATTCTGGCGTGGCTGTGGCCAGCTGGTTCCCTCACCTTGGGTTATTTTCTGTGCCCCACGCTTTTTGTCTTTCAAACGTGGGAGACTGGGGCGGGAGGCGTAAGGCAGAGCCACCAAGCACTTGGTAGGTAGCTACTTTTGTGCAAGTTCTCACTGGCATGCTAGCTGACTGACGAGCAGAGAAGTTATTCAGAAATAAGCAAGACGCATTGGAAAGGAATTGTTTTATTATTACAGAGTATACATTTTTATAACCATAGACATGTATCACTTTTTGCCTTTTTTTTTGTCATGGAAACGTCAAGTTAGGGTGGATGTCGGGGGTAGGGAAGGGCAGCTGTATCATATGGCAAAATATCTTGCGAAGGAATACTTAAATTTTAATAAACGTGTTTCTAGAACAAAATCGTGCCTCTTGTCATGGAGTCGAGTGCTCATAAACATACACCTCTGAGTTTTGGTTCATCCACTGACATATGCCAGTAGGCTCTGATCACACCTGCTGTCATGACTGTTTAATCCCGGATAGCTCAGAAGTGAACTCAAAATGACTTTGAAGACCTTCATTCTGCTTTTTGATGCTTTCAGGCTCAGGATTTCCATGTCCAGTTCCTCAGTTTTCTTTTTAGGGTGGGAGAGCTATCAGTCAACTGCTCAGGATGCGCTCTGCAGCATCGTCACAGAAGGTGTGTCTGGGAAAAGCAGTAAAACCAGAGGCATTAAAGCAAGAGCTCAGTGCTTTAGTTCTGTCACCGAAGCCATTGCTTGTGGAGAGCATGTGACATTGCCACGGCAGAGACGTAAAACAGGCTGCTGCGCGAAAAAGTTTTCTTGAGCATGTTCAAGGTTTAACATTATGCCAGGTGAGACATTTTTTCTTTTGGTTAGTTTACCATTTTGTTTATATCTAGACAAAGTTTAGTTGTGAAATTGGATTAGTTTGCTAAACTATATACTTCATTTATACTAGAGAATATAATGGTAATTTTATCATTAATCTGGTATTACTCTGTTAGTGGAAATTTAGATGACTATAAGGTACTGTAATTACCACTTACATGGTGATTGCGTTTATACATAATATTCCTATCATTTGTATTAACATTTCTGAGCACTTACTGGGTCCCAGACACCGTCTCTAGGTAGGTAGGTAGCCACGAGTGACGGGAGAGAAGGCCCAGCTCTGTAACCATAGAAATGACAACACCGACAGCCCAACCCAAAGGCCACCCCATGGACCTCCCAAAATAAAACTCACTTTTCAAATAGCAGTACCCCTGCATGAGGGGTCCCCAACCCCCGGCCACGGACTGCGTGGCTCCACGTTTCCTTTCGTTGTAAGAACTGCTGTGGGTTTACACGCGTGTCACTGACCTGTGAGGTCGCGTCCTGTGCCCGGAGCTCCCGTGTCATCACGGACGAAGCGTGTGCAGGAATCACTTGGGCGGTATAACGGGGCAGCCACAAACCGGGTCCGTGCACACTGCAATCCCAGAGAAGGTGTTCCCACCGTCAGGTCCCACCAGGCCCGCGGGCAGGGACGGCGTCCGCCTGTCTGACGGAGCCGGGCGACGGCAGGGCTTCCTGCTGCCTCTGCTGCTGTCGACTGCCCGTCCACCTCACTGCTCCCCGTTCCTTCACACTGCTCCCCGTCCACCTCACTGCTCCCCGTCCACCTCACTGCTCCCCGTCCACCTCACTGCTCCCCGTTCCTTCACACTCCCCGTCCACCCTCTGCTGCTGTCGACTGCGCGTCCACCTCACTGCTCCCCGTCCACCTCACTGCTCCCCGTTCCTTCACACTGCTCCGGGCCTGCAGTTAGATACAGCGTTCAAGACTGAAGAACGAAGAGCTGTAACCTGGAGTTGCTAAGCCAATTTATATTTCAAAATTAATTATAATACTTATTAGGGGTCCTGTGTAAATACTTCCGTTTTTAGGGTTGTGATCTTTAGCGATAAAGCTTGCTATTTTAGTACGTTTCAAAACTTGGCTCCTAAATCAGCTTTGAAATGAAGCGGATGTGTTCTATCCTACTGACGATTGAAAGGACTGATTTGTAAATGGTTTTTAAGACTTGGGCTAATTACCTCCGTTTGTTTTCAAGAACCATAAACAGTTGTGCTTTGACACTTTTATCGCTGATTCTGTAATTTGCTGCTTTGTCAACTTTTCTTCATTTGTTGGGTAACAATGTGGTATAAAGGAGAAAGGCATGGTTCATGTCATATCCTTAACCGATTTTGTGCAGCCAGAATCTCAAGGAAAGATTTGATACTACTGCCTTCCATTAGGAGAGGTTAAGGATTGCACAAAGCTGAAGCTGTCATTTAGGAGAGTCTGCCAGAAGCTTGAGCCACCTTGTTCCTGGGACCAAGTCCCCTGCTGGAGCAGATGCAGCAAATGGTGCTCCTGCTGCCCCCTCCCTTTCTGCATGCATCTCCTGGGGACAGGCATCTAGCTGCCTTCCCTCGGTGTCTAGGCAACATCTAGCGGGAGTTTTGGAAGCCGGTTCTCTTAGGGAGGGTAGACTTTGGATGCGGTCTGCGGACTTGGATGCTGTCAGGGGAATAGACTTCCACACCCTGAGTTCCGACATGGAGTTATATTCTAAGGCCACTGGAACAAGGTACCAGAGTTAGTTGCTTCTGACAGACATTTTTATGTCACAGTTCCAGCGCCAGGAGTCCAAAGTCAAGGTGTGCACAGGGCCACGCTCTGAGGTTCTGGACAGGCTCCTCCCTCGCCTCCTCTTCCGGTGGTGCCTGTCGGTCCCTGGAGTCCCTTGGTGTCCAGCCGCATCACTCTGTTCTCTGCCTCTGTTGTCACATCATGTTTTTCTCCCTGGGTCTGTCTCTTCTGAGGACACCAGTCATATTGGATTAAGGGTCCACTCCAGTCTGACCTCATCTTAAGTAATGGCGTATTCAGCGATGTATCTCCAAATATGGCCACATTCTGAGGTGCTGAAGGTCGAGACTGCATATCCGTTTGGGGAGCATAACTCTAGCACGTTCTTCCCTAAAATCGACCTGCCGGACAGTGGGCTGGGGGTCGTGTGGGCTCTTCTTAACTCCCCTTTTAACTCACAACTGCGCTTCTTTTCAGTAAAAAAGGCATTTATCTCCCCATCCTGTATTTTAACATGGCGCATTGCCCCAGGGCGTGAGAACTTCTGTCAAAGTCTGGCTGGACTCTTGGGTCTGTAAGGCTTTCTTTTGTCGAGACACTTCCTCAGGTCCCCAGGCTCGGTGCTCGCCTATTCTGACGTGTGTCTCTTGTGACAGCAAAGCATGGCCTAGGAGCAGGGCAGTTAGGCCTGTTTGGGGATGGTTTCTGTTCAGTTATAATACATTCTCAGCAGCGGGTGATGACAAATTAAATTCAATGAGGTCTCTTCTACCATACTTTTGCTGTCTTGAAAGGATGCCACCCTCCAGTGGGACTCTCCCGGAAGACTTCTGTCAGACGGATAATAGTGTGTGGCTTCTTTTCCGTCTTTTTCTTGCGATATCAGGGGTCCAAAGAAAATCAACATAAAGTTTTTTTTTATCTTACTTGTTTATACCTATTTCTACTGTAGGGTAGTGTGATAGGGTGACAGTTTCAGTCACAACAGTATTTTTCATTAGGGTAAAATTCTGGGGAAAAGAAATGGAAATATGAGGTCAAGGAGAAAGAGGGACAATGTGAGGCTTCTGTCAGTGATGGCGAGTGGCGAAGGCTTGTTTACAAAAGGGCGATTATGATGGCAGATTGCTCTGATATTTAAGTTCTGAGCATATTTAAAAGTGCCGTTCCAGCTTTCCTTTAAAATGTCAATATTTAAAATATGCCAACATTATGCCCATTGAAATATTTAAACTCATGATGAAAAATTGTAAAAGACAACTGAAAGTTTTTTTCCCCCAAATTCTTGTAGGGGATAATGAAGACCATGGTTGTGACACGTGTCCACCTCTCCATCCTCCACACGCCTTCATCTTCACATCCATGGTTTGGCCACACACGTGAATTCAGACACGATTTTTAAAATATTGACGGCATATGTTGGGCAAAGTTCATGCTGCATGCTTCATTTTAACGTCAGGCTGCTTGATTTTTTAAATGTTTTTCAAAATATTAAGTATTGGATTCTGTCAGGAAAAGGCTTCAGCACAGTTTTGAGTTGAAACTGGACAGTGAGTTGTATTTAATATTTTCCATGGCTTGAGTCTCTGATTTGTTTTAAAACCCCCCTCTGGCCCTGAACTAAAGACTGTTTAGTTAGAAACACTAAATATTTTTTAAAAATACTCATTTTTTCTTTTATGACTGCTTTGTGTTTAAGCAATTTCTGATTAATATAATTAATATATTCTCCTAGTTTTCCTTTAGAAACTTTGATGTTTTGCCTTTAACATTTAAGTCAGTGCTTTAT